GAATTGCACAACTAACCTTCACAGCATTGCCTCATCTGGCTTAGCGGCTTCCATTAACTTAACAGCCAGGAGAGAAAGCCTAATTACAAAGTGCCTCTTATTAGAAGATCTGGGCCCCGGTGGGGATTTGCTCTCGTTCAGCTTCCCTGGATTGACAGCACACCAGCACCCCCACGTCTATAGCAGGTATCTATGGCCCTGAGCCTGTGAGTCCTCCCATATAGCTAGATCTTTATCTCTGCTCAGCATATGCACACAAACACACCACAGAACACAGTAAAATATTGGAGAACAAATCTGAAAAGCAAACAAAGCAACCCACAAGCTGCCAAGAGAAAAAAAAACACAGAAGAAAGACAGCAGCCTCTGGGTCAGTAATGCCAATGGCATTTTCTTTCCTTCCATTTTGGACAAGGACTCCATGTTTGCATTCTGAAGTTGGGTCTGCAAATTGTGTAACTGTGGTTGCCAGCAACACATGATGTCATTTCTTAAAATGTATACACAGGAACTGGAGAGACAAGTCCCTGGGTAAAACGTTTTCTGTGCAAGCCTGAGGACCAGAGTTCAGACCCCCAGAACTCATGTCAAAGGCCAAGTGTGGTGGCACACATCTCTAACCCCTGCGCTGAGCTACCTGTACAGACAAGTAGATCCCAGGGCCTCAATGGACAGCCTGTGTGGCTGAATCGGAGAGTTCCAAGCTCAAGCAGACCTTGAAGAAAAGATGGGAAAGAAATTGAGAAAAACACACTGCCATTAAGCTAAAGCCTCCACACACTCAGCAGCCGTGCACACACTTAAATATCTACACATTCATGCATGCACTCGTGAGCAAACACACACACACACACACACACACACACACAAAGTTTACGCACGAGTTCAGTGGAGCAACCAAAGTCCCATTCCTTGCTAACAGGCAGACAGAATCATTCAGACTTTGCAGCACAGGGCAGCAGTTCTTAGTTATAAAAACATCTGCCGTGGAACTTAGGAATATTATCCTAAATATTTACCCAATTGACATAAACCCGGTTTATGTGAAATTCTGCATATGATAGCAGCTTTCTTCATAAGCACGTCAAGTGCAAACCCTATGTCCTTTTACTGGGAAGTAGATAAACATACTACGGTACATCTATGCAATGAAATGTTACACAGCAAAAAATAAACAAATAAATATTTTTAAAAATTAGCTGGCAACCGCTGCACAGGATGAGTGAATCACAATGGATGATGCTAAACAAAAGAAGCTGGCAGCCACGTTTGGAAATCTAATCCTGTGTGCTTCTAATTAGGTGACATCCAGAGACAAACAAAATGTTTAGGGACTGATAACTGATGGGTGGTTTCCCAGAGCTGAGGGAGGGTGAGCTGTGACCTTGGGAGGAATCGGGAGGTTTTAGTGTTGAGGAGGACATTGTTTGGTTATGGTCTCAGAACCCAGGGCAGCACATTCACAAAGATGAACTTTAGTGCACATGAATGCTGTCTTAAGTTTTAGAACGTTCATTGATCTTTGCCAAGGACAACTAGGAGCTTTTGTGGTCTTTATGGGTGTCAGAAATCTCAGTGGATCTGGAGTCAAAGGTGGGAAACAGAAGAGCCACAGACCTTGCTGTGGGGGATTCTGGGAGAGGCTCTGGGATTTTGTAAGGTGCTCAAGATGGGACCAGTGGGGACCACCGTGGAGGGAGGCCTCCCTGAAAAGCAACTGAGAAGGTTCTATGGCTGAATGGGGCTTGAGGCCCCAGGCAGAACCCTCAGACGCTGCTTCCCCACCCACAGCCTTGGCCCCCAGCAGACACACCTTGGAGAACCTCATGCTGCCCTCCCTGCCTTCACTGATCTGAGTTTATTCGGAAAGAATTGATTGGTGTCGACGGGGAGTGATTTGCCTGTCTAATTAATACGCCAACTAATTTTCAATTTAATTGCGCGTCTCGGGTCACTGGATAACAAGACTGCATGGTTCTCTCACTGGTGCAGGCCTTGATGTGAAGTGGCAGGGGAGGTGCTGTTGCCCCAGGACCTAGCCACAGCCTCTAGATCTTCTCATCCACTACACAAGCAAGCCCGGAAGCCCACGAGGCTGTCTTCTGTCCACACCACCCAGTTTCTCAGCAGGGGCGCCTAACTAGTCACTGTTCCAACAGACACTGACTTAGCAACTACTTTGTGCTAATCACTAGCTAGGATAGACACTTGAAGTGCCAAAAAGCCAAGACATGCCTTGCCTACCCCTATTGCCACCACAAATTTCTCAGTCTCCTAGAGAGGATTCTCACTTGAACTAGAAATAACAAAACCGGGTGTGCTTAAGATTATGCCTGTAATCGCAGGACTCTGAAGGCTGACATGGGAAGGTCACTATGGCTTAAACCAGCGTGAACTAGATGGAGAGCTCCAGGCCAGCCTGGACTAGAGAGTGAGACCCTGTCTCAAATACACATACTCAGACTCTACCAATTAGAGAATCTGTTTGCAGGGAGAAGCAAGAGCTTCAGAGAGAAACCCAGTCCAGGCTGCTACTGGGTGCTCGAAGAATTTAATTAATCTCCCTGTGCCTCAGTTTCTCAGTTTCTTTCTCTGAAAAACACCTCTGACACTGTCCTGTTGCCACAGTTGTCATGTAGATTACCTCATATTCTGAAAGTCTGTCTTGATGTTTCCTGACAAATTACCTCGTCCCCTGTAAGCTACACTGGAGAATGAGCTCACTCAGAAAGAGCACTGTGATCAACTAGTAATGTCTGCCAAGGGTAGAGGGATTGGGTGTGGGGTGATGAGCGGTACCAGAATTCTTTTCTACTGACTCCTCTGAAGAATTTGACTAGAATAACTGGGATCTATGAAGACCAAGAGCTGGGGGACAGAGTTCTGAAGAGATGAATTCCACTCAAAAATTACTCTCATCATTTTTAAAAGAACTACTTTGTAGAGAAATGGGGGGGAGGAGAGGGGACAGTCCCTATAGATTACAAAGATCTAGCTCTCTCTCAAGGAAGGCACTCAGTCATTTATCAAGCAAACCCAGAGTCCAGGTAAGAGGAACACGCACATACTTCATTCCTTCTTTCCAACTCACTCTGTGGAGCTGATGAAAGAATCTGTAGAGCTCGAAGAGTAGAAAGGGAAGTAGAAGGATTGAGGCTCACAAAGGAAGCACAAGAGCTTTGGAATCCCGGTGCCTGGGCTCTGCCACATGGAAGCCACATGATCCCGGACAAACTACTCAGTCTTTCTGGTCCTTGGCGTCCTTTTCTTTGTTTTGAAGCAAAGCAACTCACCTCGCCCTTAATATTAGAAAGTCAGTTTGCCTAAGTGTTCCATGATTGCCAAGTGATCACACTGGGGTCATTTTAGACAGTCTCAGAATGCCCTTTGGCATGAATAGCAAATCCCATGGTGTACTCCCTCTGCCCAGGATCTGTCTCTATAGAAGGGGAGCTGGACTTAGGAAATAAAAAAAAAAAAAAAATCTCAGAGAAGGGTAGAAAAGGACAAAGTGGGAGCCAGGAATCAGGAAGAAGGAGGTGGCTGTGGGAGAGGGGAGTAAGCCCACTTCTAGGAGCAAGAAGGGAGAGGGCAGAAAGCCGAGGAGAGATTAGTGGCTTTGTCCACAGGGGGCAGGGACCGAGGGAGGAGAGAAGATGGAGCAAAGGGTGACTTGTCTAAGCTTATGAATTGGGTTCCTCCACTGTCTGTCCTAAGAGGAAAGAAATTTCTTTTAGATTTGCTTTTCTTGTCTTTGGATGGCACTCTAATTTAAACAATGTGACTGTCCTGCTGAAGCAAGTCAGCTGGGCCACTTTTCCAAGGTCCTAAATGCCTAGACCCGTCTTCCTTCAGAGAGTAGCAATGCCCCAGAGGCAACAGCTCTTCCATGTTCTGGCTCCTCGACAGCACACAACTGGAGTTCCCTGGCACAGGTCCTTAGCAGGTACTGCCAGAGCCTGGCTTTTGTCCTTTAGAGCCAGTTATATCTTCCTGTAACCACCTGCCGCTTTGTCACCACACTGCACATAATGGGCTCTCAGGCAGGCGGAGTGCAGGGGTAAACCTGGGCACAGAGGCCCTCCATCACTGCTAGATGGGTTGGCACCTCGGTGGTAAGCCTCCAGGCAGGAAAGCTGAGCTATAACCCCATCCTATCACACAGTTCTTAGAGAACGGAGCCCCGGGTGTGTCCTACCATGTCCATGAACCCCCAGGCAGCCACGACAGCAGCCCACGTGTTAACCTGCCCAAGAGTCCTTCCCTGCTGTTCGGCTCCCATGCTCCTCTCAACATTTGCCCTCCGGAGCCCCCTTCCAAGGCGCTTGTGCTCAAGCCCTCATCTAGGCCTATTTTCTGCAGAACCCATGCCGAGCCAGTCAGCCTTCCAGATGTTCCATCCCACAGCTGGCAAACAGGACAACGGCAAATCTTAGAGAGGCATGCCCTTTCTGAGGACAGGGAAGGAGCAGGCCAGGAAAGGAGGGATTTCTGGAGAAGGCTTTTGTTGTTGTTGTTTTGGCCGCATATGTACCCCTCAGAGTTTGAGCCAAGGAGCACAAAGGGGACCAGAGCACAGTTGTTCCTGTCTATCCTTTAGGCTGGTGGTGCTGGAGGGGCGGCTCCTCACTGTAACAAAGGCCTGAGGGCCTCCAAGGTTCTCAAGGTTGTGCAATTAAGTGGGAAAGCCTGCTCAGCCCGAGGCTGAAGCAGAGGAAATATCCCATGGTTGACTGTGCCAAGGCGGTGACTGAGCCAGCCCTCTGGCTTGCGGGCAGGGTGGTGGCCCTCAGAGATAAGCCAATCCCCGGGTTGCAGGTGAGGATCCCCGAGAAGCCAGTGGGAATCATTTCTCCAAACAGCAAGAGGGGAGGAAGGGATTCTGCAGGCCTGTGTGGGGAAGCCGGAGCCTCGCTCCGCCCTGGTACTATCCGTATTCTCCCTTCACCTGGAAGAGCTCTGGGGCTGGCCTCCCGTCCACAGCTCAGGGATACAGCACTATGAGCCGGTCAAGGCATGTGGGCAAGATCCGGAAACGTCTGGAAGATGTCAAGAACCAGTGGATCCGGCCAGCCAGAGCTGACTTTAGTGACAATGAGAGTGCCCGGCTGGCCACAGATGCTCTTCTGGATGGGGGTCCAGAGGCTTACTGGCGCGCTCTCAGCCAGGAAGGAGAGGTGGACTTCCTGTCCTCGGTGGAGACCCAGTACATCCAGGCTCAGGCCAAGGAGCCCCAGGATCCTGCAGGAGGGGCTGAGTCAGGACCCAGAGGACTCGACTCCTGCTCCTTACAGTCGGGTACCTACTTCCCGGTGGCTTCGGAAGGCAGTGAACCGGCTCTGCTGCACACCTGGACCCTCGCTGAGAAGCCCTACATGAAGGAAAAGTCCAGCGCCACTGTGTACTTCCAGATGGAGAAACACAACAACATCAGAGATTTGGTCCGCCGCTGCATCTCCCGGGCCAGCCAGGTACACACGCACGGCTGGTGTCTGCATGGCCACTGGCGGGGAGAAGGGGGGCCGGTGGAAGAGGGCTGGGGGCGGCACAAGCTTGCCCTGGACTCGGACCCCTGATCCTTGTAACAACCTGGGTCCTAAGCCCCTAAAACCCAACCCGACGCTACAGTCTCCTATGTGGGAAGAATGACATCCTCCCAGTGCTCTCTAGCCGCTTCCCCCACTGCCTGTCACTCAACCCTGAGTCCCTGGCCTCTGGCTTCAGGACTTTATACGCTCTGCCTAGGCCCTCACCATCACTGATTTTCACTTTGTTCATGGTACTCCTTCCTTTGCGCTTCCAAATAAAGAGGGTGGGAGCTTCATTAGGGCATACTCTTGCCCTTTTGTCCTCTCGGCCTCTGTTTTATTCTGGCTGCTCACAGCTGACCCTGCCCCTATTGAGCAGCTCTAAGCAGAAAATGGGGCAAGGCGGGGGTCAGAGAAAGTCTCCCTCTCCCCATAGTTAGACTCCGGAGAGTCCTTCAGAACGGGGACCTCGGGCATCCCGGCAGATGGGGCCGGGAGTTCCCAGCACCTCTGGGTACTCAGGTCTGCAGCGCTGTCAGCGTGGTCAGCGTCAGCTGGGGGCTGGGGGAGGGGCTCTCTTCTTCCCCAGGTGCACAGGGTTGTAGGTGCCCACCCGTCCTTCCTGAGGCTTCAGAGCTGCAAGGTGGAGAGTGAACTCCACGGAGGAGGGAGACCTGTCATCTAGGGTTAGGGTGTGGCTCTGCGGTAGAGTGCTTGTTCAGCACAGAAGAGGCCTGGGTTCGATTCCCAGTATGGGGGAGGGTCATCTGTAAAAACATTCTCTCTCTCTCTCTCTCTCTCTCTCTCTCTCTGTGTGTGTGTGTGTGTGTGTGTGTGTGTGTGTGTGTGTGTGTGTGT